TCAGCCTGAAATAATACTTTCCAAATGGAATTTGAACAAAAGCCCAAGAAGGCACCCAGAGGCAAGTAAATAGAATGTGACCATAAGACAAACATTCCAATGATGGTTTACAAATCTTAAAGAACATATGTATGAGTGCATGAAATTAGGAACCTTATAGTGACAAGTGAATTTAAAAAAAAGAAATTCAGAATGAAAAATCATGAATGATATTAGGTTTGGAGGCCACTGGCTATTAAAAGTCTATTGGCTATGAAACATATAAATAGACTCTGGCTTAGATGGTGATCTGTATTGGAGTGCCTCAAGAATTTTCCCCTGCTTAAAAGAGAAGTCTTAATATTTTTATCAATGTCTTGAAAACATAGATGTCACACTTATCAAATCTCCAGATAACATTATCTTGGGAGGTTAGAGCCAGGATCCAAACACACTGGATGCTAGAGTTAGGATCCAAAATGATTTAGAACCCTGGACTGAAAGACATAAGAACAAAATTATATATAATGGGGCTTCAATGTTCATAAGCATAAGATAAGGGAATGTGTAGAGGCAATATACACAATACAATTTTAGCATAACAAAAATCTCAAGATTATAGAAAATGTATTATGAATCAATCATTAGAAAAGCATTTAAAATATAATGTAATTTTAGCATATAATAATAATAATAACTAGCATTTACATAGTGCTTACTATGAGCTGGGCACTGGGCTAAGCACTTTACAAATACTATCTCATTTGAATCTCATAACAACTCTGTGAGATAGGTGCTATTATTATCTCTATTGTACAGAGGAGGAAACTGAGGTAAAGACATGTAAGTATCTGAGGGTAGAATTGAATTCAGGTATTCCCGAGTCCAGGTCTAGCACTGTATCCACTGTGCCACCTAGCTGTTCCAGACAGATGAATAATCCATTCCTGCTATACTCTGTCACCATGGGGACAGAAATGGAGTGCTTTATTTGGTACAGGGCACCAACTTTTGGGAAAGACATTGATAAGTTAAAGTATCCAGGACAGAAAAATCAATATGGTGAAGGGCAACATTGGAAGGCAATCAATATGATGAAGGAACTAAGGACACCTAGCTTGGAGACCAGAAGAGTTGGGGGAGATGTGATGATTATTGACACGTACTTCAAAGGCCTGAAGGTTCACATAAAAGAAGAGTGAGGCTTGGTTAGCCTGTCCACAACAGGTTTAATTAGTAACAAGGGGACATGTTACTGCAAGACAGATTTTGACTTGGTATAAGAAAAAATGCTAATGATATTTTGACAAAAATGGAATGGCCTGCTTCAGTAGGTAATGGGTCCTATTTCACCATACCTCTTAATTAAAAGGCGACATTCATGCTTGTTGGAGATGTGTTCTAGGTGACCTTTCAGATTCCATGAACTTGTATACTACTTATGTTGGGAAAATAATAAAGTTTTATTGTTTTTGTTTTTTTGTTTTTTTTGTTTTTTTTTAAGCCGGAAGGAAATTTGGAGGTTAAATCTAGTCCAATCTTCTCATTTACAAATAAATTAATGGATGGATAAATGGATGAACACATTAGGGAACAGAATCCCAGAAAAGTGATTTGCACAAATCTATGCAGACATTAAGCAGAAAAGCTCAAATTTGAGCCCATGACATTTATTATCACAACTGTAATGTAATACAAAATATTTAAAGGCAGGAATCTTTGATTTGGTAAAATGATGTGAAGTTCATGGCATTCTAGGGGACATAGAAGATATTTCCTTTAGTCTACATAAGGCAAACCAATTTTTAAAAATATGTTTAAAGTTCTACTTATTGAAAAATATTCACCATAATAAATTCAGCCATTTTTATTTTCAGGTGTGTTCTTCACATAAATATAAATATTTAAACTTGTTTAAAATTAGCAATGAAGTACGTAACTGCACTGTTTGGTTCTTCATCTAGAAAAAATCATCAATTAGTACTATACACTTATTTCTACCCAAAAGATAGGTAGTTTTTTTTTCTTTTTTCCTCTATCCAAGATAAATCAAATATAGATAAAGTAAAGAATAAGACAGGGAAAGTGAAATAAAGAAATAGGATAGAAGGAAGAGAAAGAGAGTAAGAAAAAAAGAAAATGAAAAGACAGGAAGAAATTATGTTCATATGGTATATTCTTTTCGTATAGGATAGAACCTCCCCTTCCCTCAAAAAATACAAATTAAATGGAGAATGATATTTTATCTATCTATCTATCTATCTATCTATCTATCTGTCTGTCTTTATTCCATCTTATATTTGTTGTCGTATGTGTGTGTATGTGTGTGTGAGTGTGTGTGTGTGTGTGTGTGTGTGTGTGTGTGTGTGTGTGTGTGTGTGTGTGTTGCAAGGTGCAATGCCATTCAACTATTTCTGTTCCCAAAGTTCCAATGGATGCAACTCCAGTGCAGGTTCGGCATAGCCACTTGTAGTTCTGGGAATTAGTCACTAGATGGTCCCACACTACTACAGCTCTGTTACTCCTGTTCAGCATCCAGCCTCACAAATCCATGCTGGTACTTGACAGCCTGACAGGGCTACTTAGTATGGCTAAGACGACTTTTCTATGCATTTGCAATAAGTATGGTCTCTCAAGCTTTTGCATTTGGGAAGATAATGCAAGTGACTCAATGTAGCCCAGAAAAGACAGTTCAAATTGGGCAAATTCCAGAAGCAGAGTGACAGTCAGAAATAACCTCTATACTGAGAATTCTAGGGATAAGTTTAAAGGCAGCCTCCATATTTGGGTCATAAGCATGGGACACTGGCCTTTTCATTCAGCCTCCCTCTCCACCTCATGACTGGTCCCCCAAACACACACACACACACACACACACAACACACACACACACACACACAGAGACACCAGGCTACCAGACTCATACAGAAGGCAATTTCATTAATACCATTAATATTCAATGTAGATTCCTGCTCATCCTCCCCACTGTTGGGTTGGGGGCGGGGGGAGCGTGATATGAGCACAGGTGACAAGCCCATGAGGGGAGGAGAATAATCTTTGCATTCTCCTTGAAAGGGTTAAGTGGGCATACATCCAGAATGGTACCACAAGCCTGGCTCCCCAAAAACATGGGCACATATCTCTCGCAAAGGTAAAGATCATTAGGGAGGGGACCACACTCCACATTCTACTAGGTTCATTTCTTCAACTCCCTGTGCCCACAATAAGGACCATTCCCGCCATCAGGGGACCCAGCAACTTGATTTGGGTGAGACTTTCTTGAATAATGACTTTATCCAGATACACGTTCTAAAAAACTTCTTCAAAAGTGAGGAAATATCAAATCCACAATAAAGTTGGTTTTATTTTTTTTCAACATCTGAAACTATGTTTTATCTGTTCTAAGCACTCCCTGCATGGAATCTCCCTGCGCTAATGCAGATATTTAACTTATATCATTAGAGCATTCGTTGGATAAAGTGAGGCAGGCTTGATAGTGAAAGGCTAAAAGAATTGCCCTGACCTGGACAGCTAAAATGTGTCAGGAGGGCAGACTTCAACCCAGGTCTGCCTGACTCTAACGCTGGCAGTCTACCCATGAGGACATTCTATCTCTCTAAGCTGGTAGTATGATAGGTCAAGAAGTCTTTCCCACTGACTGGGAGGCAGATGGGGTTAGCAGAGAGTGTGTAGACTTGGAATCAGGAAGAGCCAGATTTGGATCCTGCTGTAGACACCAGTTGCATTCTCTTCTGACTAGTGGTGTGACCCTAGGCCATCTCCCAAAATGTGGATGCCTCACAGCATCATTTGTAGGATCCAATGGAAATAAAAGTTATACAACACGCTTGGCAAGCCTTAAAGACTTATATAAATGTTAGCTATAACTCTTAGTATTATTAGCCATTATTTTCATCCGCCTTCTAGAACTCAGAGGTGGCCCATGAAAAGACACCCCTTCATCACTGAGCCTGAAAATATTTAGGTTAAAGGAAGTTCTCTTTCCTGCCAGGGCTTATTTAAGCTAATGGCTGGGGTGAAGTTTCTCACTGATGGTTCACTTTGACATGCAGGGGATAAAGTGTTCTCCACCTTAGGACTCAAGAGTTGCCTGGAATTCTAAGAGGTTACATAACTCATCTACAGTCAGACATGGGACTTGACCCCATACCTTTCTGACTCTGATGGTATCTCCCTTTTCCCATGTCAGTCTGCCTTTCTCCCTAATAAAATTCTGATTTTGCAATGAGAAAAAAAGAAACCAAGGCTCAGAAAATTGAAAGGATTTGTCCAAGGTTTCAGAGTTTGTCCTAGGTTTGAACCCAGGTCCTTGAATTCCAAATTGGGATGTCTGTGATCAGAAATCTAGGCTTTTAGGGCTTTTTGTCAGTGTCCCTAAAATATGGGCTAGAGGAGGTCCGGGAAGAACAACTGAGGCAAACTATCATTCAGGAAGAAGCCCAGTCCTAGGGAATGCTCCACTTCCTAGGTCTGCCTATGGAAAAGAGAGAGGGACTGGCTTGTGTCATTTCTGCCTGACCCACCTCAGGCTTGACCCATGATACTTAATTCCAATGCAGTCTGAGCTTAGCTAAAACGAACTGGATATAGAGAGCCATGGGGCAAGTAAATACGAGCAATTGACAGGCTAAGCACTAGAGGTAATTTTGAGTCTGAATCTAAGACTGAGACACATGAAGTTTCCGGTCCATCTTCTTCTCTGTAAATCGCCCTCAAAAACTGAAGTGAAAAATTTGTTAGTGTTACCCTGGATGCCAAAGGGAATACTGAGCTGTGTTTTCTTGAGAATGAAAGTGGTTTTCTTTTGTTGCTGTGTATTTGTCAAACAAGAAATCTGAAAAGTTAATAATGCCAGATTTAGGGGAAATAACACAAAACCACGAGGCACATCATATGATAACCATATGCATCTCCAGAAGGAAGTCATTGCATGTTTAATTGCCATTCTATGGCTCAAAACTGTCCCCCACACAAGAGAGATTTTCAAAAGTTATACGCACGATTTTCAAGTGAGATAAAAGTCGCATGACATCGGCCATGTCAGCTAAAATGAGCAAACGAGTAACGGCTGAGAGCAAAGCTCGGGCAGCTCGCACCATGGTGCCACGCTTCACCGATGAGCAGGGATCATCAGCAAATTCTGAAGAGGCAATTCTCATGGTTTCACCTACCAGACAAAAGACAAAACAAGGATTCATCAAGACCTGATTATGCTGACTCTAAAATGCTGGTGCTGATAATAACAACAGTAATAATGATAATTATGTCAAAGATCAATGAAAAATATGTTGTTGCTGATAGAACAATGTTGATGATCCTCTTTGAACCTCAATCATCATGAAATCTCTTGAAGGAGTTAATTTTCATGCTACACGGACCTTACAAAATCCTATTTGTAGTTCCCATCTAACACAGGTTGGGGATTTCCTAGATTGAATTCATTCAGAAAAGGTACTACTTGTCTGACTACATAACTAAAGGGAATCTTAGAAGAGACAGAGCCACAGAATTATAGCATTTAAATAAAGTATGGGATGTCAGCAGCGATCTAAGTCTAAGCCATATGCAAAAGGAATTGCCTACAATATATCTCAGAAGTGGTTATCAAACCAATGCTTCTAGACCTCAGAAGAGAAGGAACCCATGGCCCCCTGAGGCAGCTCATTGCACTCTGGGACAGCTCAAAACACTAGAAAATTATACCTGATATCTGGTCTAAATCAGCCTCTTTGCAACTTCTACCCATTACTCATGGGGCAACCCATTGACTCTCTGGGGACCAAAAAACAAAGTCTAACCCACTGTCCACTTGGCAGCCCTTCTAATAATGGAAGGCAGTTAACATGTCCACAGACTTTTTTCTCCTCCAGGCTAAAATACTTTTTTTTTAACAGCTCTCACATGGTATAAATTCAAGGTCTTCATCATTTTGGTTATTTTCCTTTGAGATTTTTCTAGTTTTTCAAAGTAAACTGTGGTATCAAGAACTGGATGAAATAAATCACATGAGAGCTGAAGAGGGTGGACTATCCCTCCCTTATTACTGGAAGTTAAAGCTATCAATGCAGGCCAAGCCTTTCTTTAGCTTTTTGGCCACTACATCACACTGCTGACCCATATTAAGCTTGCCATATACTAATACAAAAACGAACATGAAACAGATCATTTTCAGATCACCTGTTATATAGTAATGCCTCTTCCTTCATGTTCTGGTAAAGCTGATTTTTAGTACCTAAGTAAAAGATTTTACATTTACCCGTATTGATTTATGTCTCCTTAGGTTCACCTCAATGCTCTAGTCTGTCAAGATTGTGCAAATTTGATAAACATTTCATTCATATGGTTATTCATGTGACTGATAAAAACACACATTGCCAAGCACAGATCCCTAGGGTACTCTGCTGAAGACCTCCTGCTACTTTGACTCTTCATGATTAACAACCATGACCTGAAGGCTGTCATCAAATTTGGTCTGAATCCATCTAACTGTCTTATTGTCTAGCACAGTCATGTCAAGCAAGCAGCCCTCAAACTCCCACCTTGAACCAGATAAAAATGTAATAAATAAACAGAAATAATACATACAAAAATAACTAAAATATATTGATTTTATGTTAACTAAAATGCTAATTTGTGGTTTTCCAAGTCAAAATATGGCACTCTGGGAGCCAGTTCTATTTGAGTTGGATATCATTTGTCTAGTGTACATATCTCCACCTCCTGTAAGAGAAGAGTATAAGGCATTAGACAAAGGTCGTAGCTAAAATTTTGGTCAGCTCATCCCTCAGGGATCCCTTAACTTCCTAGGTTAGCAACCATGTTAAAATCAAAAAGGCACTTAGTCTGCCATGATCTGGTTTCGATGATGCTCTGCTACATCTTGGCAATCACTTCCTCCTATTCTGAGTGTCCATCAACATCTAAAATCATCTATCTTTTTGATGATCTGTTCTAGAAATTTCTCAGGAATTAAAGAAAATCTTATTACACTATTACTTGCAGTCTCTATTGCTATGTCTCTCCTTCTTCTGGGCATCTATTCCCTCTTGGTCATGTTTAATCTGTCATCTAATCTTCCCATTTAAGACAAGAATATTGGGGTCCACGTGGAGAGACCCCAGTTCACATGGGCATTAAATGGTAGGGCCAAGACTTGAACTGAGTGCTGGAAACCCAATTTTTTCCCCATCACATTATGATACTGCTGATCCAATAGGAACAGATGGTGCATTTAGATTATTTTTTTTCAATTAATGTAGAGGAATGCTCATTTTCTCGGTTTCTGTCTTTACCTCTGTCTTTGCCTCTCTCAGTGTCTCTGCCTTCTCTCCCACCCCCCCCCTCTCCATTTTGACTAATGAATCCTACTTATTTGCATCTGGGCATGGTGGTGGTGATAGGGAAAATTAATGAGGGAGCTGTGGAGTAAACTAAAACTGACTGATCGAGAAGCAGATGAAACACAAGGCATTGACTTCATCAAGACTGTATTCTATCAAGAATAAATTAACTAGACAAATCTACTTATCCAAATTTTCTTGTTAGTTAAGGATGAAAATTCCTCAACCAATGTAACATTAGGAATGCATCAATCCTAAATAAGATACCACTTTAAAAAATGAAGAGAAATTAATATCTTTCTTTGGTTAATTTGCAGGTTTTGAATGAAATTTGTTATCATCATGTGGCTCATTTTGTTGTGTATTCCTGTGCAACTTTTGACATTTTGCAGTGCATCTGGATGCAATGAAACAATTTTAGTGTGTGCTTAAAAGAAAACACTCATCCTCATGATGATGCTATTTTAGATCCAGGAAATGTGTCAATGTATATGAAATATATTACACTGTTGGATTTGAAAGGAAGCTGCCATCTACAATGGCCACATTAGACTTGCAGATTGGCTCAGTCTTTATGCTCAACACAAACAACCTCAAGTTTTACAGCCCATACAGAACTTAAACATTCATTACTGTACTGTCAAAAAGGCACATTGGCAAGATTTATCTGGTCCTAAAGGACCAGATAAACTTTAAAGGGAAGGCAGGTAACTTGGAAATATAGATTTAAGCCAACAGCAGTCTCATGCATCAGATCAATTTTGCAGATATTCAAATAAAGCTTTCCACAGAAAAGCAATAAAAGCATCTCCCACCAACACCCTAATACACAGGTATGCTCTCTGTCTCTTTTTGTGCATGTCTCTCTGTATCTGTCTTTCTGTTTCTTTCTCTTTTTCTGCCTGTCTCTGTCTCTCTCTGTGTGTCTTTCACTCTGTCTCTATATCTGTGTCTCTGTCTCTTTGTCTCTGTATCTCTCTGTCTCTCTGTTTCTGTCTCTCTGTCTCTGTCTCTCTCTGTCTCTCTGTTTCTTTCTCTGTCTTTCTGTCTCTGTCTCTCTCTCTGTCTCTGTCTCTCTCTCTGCCTCTCTCTCTGTTTCTCTGTCTCTCTCTCTCTCTCTCTCTTTCTCTGTCTCTCTGTCTTTCTCTGTCTCTCTGTCTCTCTCTCTCTTCCTCTCTCTCTCTTTCTCTGTCTCTCTGTCTCTCTCTCTCTGTCTCTCTCTCTTTCTCTGTCTCTCTCTCTGTCTCTCTCTGTCTCTCTCTCTCTTTCTCTCTGTCTCTCTGTCTTTCTCTGTCTCTGTCTCTCTCTCTCTGCCTCTCTCTCTCTTTCTCTGTCTCTCTCTCTCTCTGCCTCTCTCTCTCTCTTTCTCTGTCTCTCTCTGTCTCTCTCTGTCTCTCTGTCTTTCTCTGTCTCTCTGTCTCTCTTTCTCTGTCTCTCTGTCTCTCTCTTTCTCTCTCTTTGTCTGTCTATCTCTGTCTCTCTCTCTTTTTCTCTCTCCCACCTACTACATAGTGATGTGGCTTAAAAGGACAAACGGGGAAGACAGGTCATGCTGAAATGTGGCCACAGAATAACATAAACTAAAAGTCTGAAGGAAGCTCATAGGAGCCCACTAATCTAAACTACACTAGAACAGCAAGTAAGCCAATCTAGAACATCCACAACAAGTAGCCGTCCATTCTTTTCTCAAAGCCCTCCAAAGAAGGGGGGAGGGGCACCTATGATTTCCTGAGGCAGCCTATTTAAACTTTGAAAGTAGTCATTTATATGGAAATATTATGAAACCTTGCAAAAAAAAAAAAGAGTTCATATTGAAGGTCTAAGAGTGCTCATTCTCTACCCATCCCAAATCCTCTTCACTACCACTACCCACCACAGGAAGCATTATTTTCATTTATAACCCAGCAAGTGAGAGAATATGTTTGGGGTGGTTCAAGTATATATATGGGCTTTCAGACAGTGCTACTTTCTATTGCTATGATAATGAAGATTTGGTAATACAACTGATCAAAAGAGCTAGCTTATTATAAGAAAGTGAATATGTGTGTTTCCAAAACTAGCCAGCTTTTACACTAGGCTTTGCACTGAGATTTCTACTCTTTTTGATTCCTTCCATTTTTAATAGAGATGCTCAGATAGGTCTATGCCATTGCTGAGTTTTAATATGGTGTTAACTATAAAGCTAATTGGGAGTGAAGGTGTTTGTGAGTGTACAGAAGGAAGAGAGAAAAAAAAAGGAGGAAAACAAAGACAATGAGAGCTTCCAATTCTGACAGCTCAGATATCAAGAGAAAACAAAGAACTATAAAACTTGAGGATAATGGCTAATCAAACCCTTTCATTTGACAAAAGAACAGAGAAGATAACCAGAAGAAAGGACAGAAAAAGAAAGGGTAGAAATTATGGGGAGAATGAAGTGAAAAAAGAAAAGAAAAGCCCTAGTTGGACATCTACTCTGTATACTAAATCCATGTATTGAACTTAATTCCAACCCAATAATTCACCATCAAATATTTCAGAATGTACAGCTATCAGATAATTCTGTGATGTTATGTCAGTTTTTCCTCATAGGATTAAAATTTAGAGCTAGAAGGAATATTAGAAACTCCTGCACTTCACATATGAGGGAATTGAGGCATAGAGAAGGGGATCAATTTATCCAAGGCACTGTGGATATTTGAATGAATAAATCAATGAATCAATGAATGAATGGATAAAATCTTTCCCTTTGACCAAGGAGCTAATAATTTGGAAAAGGGGATAAAACATGCAAATTCATTACATATGTATTCTGCTATAACTGTAATACAAATTAGATCAAGATTAA